TGGTGCCCTGTGTGGTGGGTGATGGGCTCTGTAGAAGAAGTTAGGCAGCAGGGCAGGGAGCAACTCCACCTGGTGCTGTGTAACCATGTGGACTTGCAGTGAGGGAGCCCGTCCCTTGTCGAAACAAGCCGTTGTCACTGTGCCTCAGCTTCCCTGACTGGAGTTCCTGTCTCCTTACAGAACGGCCCTGGCTCGTGGACTCCTACACCAAGTGGCTCCAGAGGTTAAAGGTACGTAAGGTGCCTCTGCTTCTGCCCTTGGGGGTTGGAACAGATCTGGACCTGGCCAAGAAGGGTGGCTACCAAAGGCATTGGGCTTATTGTGAGGTGGGTGTAGCAGTCCCCTGCCCCCAGTGGCCTGGGACATAGGTATAGCCTGTAGCCCACCACTTAGAGCTCACAAGCCCCCAGCTGAGAATCTAATGTCAGAAGTACCCATTCTAGGCTTAGGTGTACTTAGTAAAAGAAAATTGCTTGGTTTGTATGAGGTTCTGGGTTCCATCCCCAGCACCACATGGAAGGAAGATGTCCCCACTCCCTGCATGACCTCCTGCAGTGACCACTGCCTAGGTCACCTGGCCTTGGGACAGACTGCCCTATCTCCATCGCCTGTTATGCTTTGAGACCCTGTGCCTGGACCCAGCCCCTGTGGGGGCTGTACGGGGTGTAGAGTACAGTGGTGTGTGAAACGCTTGAATGCACCTGTTCCCAACTGAACGTCCTGGTTTTGTCTTACAGGGGCCCCCTCATAAATGTGCCTTAATTTTCGCAGATAACAGTGGAATAGACATCATTTTGGGAGTCTTCCCCTTTGTCAGGGAGCTACTCTTTAGAGGGACAGAGGTGAGTGAAAAGGCTGGGTGGGTGGGACCCTTCCCCTGGGCTTCTCCGCTGTTGGTGGGGTTGGCGTTGCTGTGGGCTTCTGGCGGTGGTCAGAGCTCCTACATTTGTAGCAGGTGAGTGCAGGTGAGGCCAGGGAGCACCTGGGCCTGTGGGTGTGGGCTGTAGCTTAAAGCCTGGGTTCTCTCTGCTTCCTGTTTCCTGGAAAGGCATTTACCAGAGACTTGGGAATACATGAGAGGTTATCCTGCTCCAGGAGGCAGGCCGAGGATGGGATGAGAGGCAATAAAGCATGCTCTGAGCACAGCCCTGCCTCTCTCAAAAACCACAGAGCCCTGAGATTGTCTGGGGCCCTGCTGCCCAGCTGGTTGCTGCTTGGAACCTGCCAGGGACAGCTTGGTGAGTTTTGGCCACATAAGTAACAGCCCAGGTTCTAAAGAGCTGCTGCCCCCCTCACCGTAGGTCATCTTGGCATGCAACTCAGGCCCTGCCCTGAACGATGTCACCTACAGTGAGTCCCTCATTGTGGCAGAACGCATTGCAGCCATGGACCCCGTCGTCTGGTAGGTTCTGGCCTCCCATGTTGAGCCAGGCAGGAGGTGGGCCTAAGAGGTACTGGGAGATACGCAAAGGAGGGCTGGGGGTGGGCTCTCCTGGGCCTGACTGCCTGGTTTTCTGTAGCTCTGCACTCAGAGAAGACCGGCTGCTGCTCGTGCAGACGGGTTCCAGCTCCCCGTGCCTAGATCTCAGGTAACCCAGCCCTCCTCCCTCCTGCTCTGCAAGGCACCAAAACCAGCCAGGCGGCTGCGTGACCTAAATATGACCTGTGTAGTCACTTCTTCCTGTGGCCTGTAAGCCAGATGGGCAACTGACCCAGGCTCCAGGCCTTGGGACCCTCCTGTAGCATGGGGCTCTGCCCCATCATTCCCACAGGCAGTCATGTTCTCCAGTGCTTTTTTTTTTTTAACGTTTATTTACTTATCATTTACTTATTGTGTATCTATGTGTGAGGGCCACAGCATGTAGAGGGCAGAGGACAACTTGCAGGAGTAGCTTTTCTTTCACCACGTGGGTTCTAGGGATCAAACTTAAGTCACCAGGCTTGGTGGAAAGTGTCTAAACCCACTGAGCCATCCTGCTGGCCCTTCCTTTAGTGTTTTCTGCAAAGAATTGCACTGTACTAGACAAAGGACATGTCAGAAATGTGGGCATAAGGGAAGCCAGGCAGTGCTGGAAGTGGAGCTCCTGGCCACTCTTAGAAGGCTGGGCTTGGACATGCCTTAGCAGGACGCACTGGGGAGAGGTCTCCATGTTCTTGCTGGTTGCTACTTCCAAGGGAACAGGGTTGGTGTCCACCAGCTTGTGCTCAGGGCAGGTTGTGACTAGCCCCCTGCCCAACCTCGTTGCCACCCTTCTTCCCTGAAGCCGCCTAGACAAGGGACTGGCCGTGCTGGTACGAGAACGTGGTGCAGACCTGGTGGTCATCGAAGGAATGGGCCGTGCCATCCACACCAACTATCATGCACTGCTGCGCTGCGAGAGCCTCAAGCTGGCGGTGGTGAAGAATGCCTGGCTAGCGGAGCGGCTAGGTGGCCAGCTCTTCAGTGTCATCTTCAAATACGAGGTTCCTACCGAGTGAGACACCCACCCTGCCAGACCTATCTGCCTGTCCCTCGTCAGGAACCTGTGTCACAACGGAGTATTGATACTATGCTTCTGTGACTGACAGACAGCACGTGTACCAGGGCCACCCAACCTAGCATTTGTCCTGTGGGACACTTGTGTTGGAATGTATTTAACTGTTAAATAATCTTTTATATATATATATATACATATATATAAATATATAAATACACATGTATTCATCTGGTAGGAAACAGTGCCTGGCACAGCAGGTCTCCCAGAGACCAGATACGTTTTCTATGTGCTGCTGAGAAAATGCCCACAGTCCCAAGTGATCTGTAGCAGCCCCAGCTGACTTCCTCTGTCACCTCTGGAGCTACTGAGTGCTGAACTTCCAGTCCTGTTCCATCACCTCTTTGGGTCCCAGTGTTCTTCCCATCCTGTTTCTTGATTCAGAAGGAGCAAACACCAGTCCATCTGCTGACCCAGCTCCTAGGAACAGCACAAGCTGCTAAGCAGCACTCCTGTTTCAAGAGCTGGTGGAGAGGAGGCTTTGTCATGAAGGACCCTCAAGGGTTCTTGGAGGGAGCTGGGCAGAGCCCAGCAACCTGTATGGGTTTTGTTACTGTGGCTTTGATTCCAGTCCCCAGGGCTTGGCGCCTGGGAGTGCTGGGATGCCTCAGGTGTACACAAGGCTCTTGGACTCCTTCCTTAATTGATTTGACCTCCAGGGATGGATGTGTGGCCATGAACAGCCACACATTGAGGATGTGTGGTGGAGCCACGTAGGTGTTCACGGGACTGCACGGGTACAGGGGTGGAGCCTTGGGCTCCACTTCTCACAGTAGGGGCTTGTTCTTGGCATCTGAGCTGTTGGAAAGACAGAAGAGGCCGACACCAGCTCTACTGGGTCCCCCCAGATGGAAAGAAACAGACCAACTGAGAGGCACAGCCAGATGCTTATCACCCAGCCGAGTGTTACCTTTCATGGTGGTAGCTGCTGCTCTGCCTTCCTCTTGTTCTCCATTAGGACCTCCAGCATCCAGCATACTCAGTTCTGGGCCAATGAAAGTGACAACCTGGATAAAGCAATGTGATAGGGCCTGTACCCAGACCCAGGGTCGTCTAGATTTACCCCACCCCTTTTCCTTGCCATCATTAGTTTTCAGTGGCCATTTCAGGCCCTGCCTACTGTCTTTGCGACTCGCCCTGGGTGTTGATGTGGGCTGTACCATCTATGATCTGTGTAGTGGTAGTGACCCCCTTGTGTACCAGCCATTATGCAACGCCTGTAGGTGAGTAGCAGAATTGAGGCCTGGCCCTCCTATAGATAGCCACCAGGGGGCAGCAGGCACCTCAACAAGCAACATCCTGGGGTTCTGCAATCGGCAGTCTTGAGTCCAGGGCCTACTTCCAGCCCAGCCCAGGGGCCTCAAGTCATCAGCTCAGATAGCTGTAGGCCCTGAGCCAGGGATCTAATGTTAGAAGTCTCCATTCACAGATTGGGGTATGTTCCTTGGTCCCCAGCACAGATGGGGAAGCCCTTCCTGCTTGGGTAGGCTTCCTGCCTTTCTTGAACTCCAGGCAGGGAGGCAGGCCCAGCTGGGTCTTGGAACTATCCAAACTGGAAAGATAGTTTCATCCCCAGTCCCACTTTAGGGTGACTACAGGCCCACCCTGAGGCCGAAATACAATGCTCCCATCTGCCTTAGCTGGACCCTCAGAAGGGAAGAGATGAGCAGAGGTGATTAGGGCTCTGAGCATAAGTTAGTACTGCCAAACATATATCCTTCCCCTGGGGCCTACCTGTGTCCCCACCTCAGCCTGTGGCCAAATACTTGTCACATCCTACAGCCCCACCCTGCAACTCCATCCCTGTCTTAGGCAGAGTAGAGGGTCTGCTCCATGCCCATGATCCACTCTTGCCTGCAGCCCTACCGTGTGCACATGTATACGACCCCACCATGAGATGCTGGCCACCAAGCTGGCTTAGCAGTTCTTCAGGCCCTCTCACTGGCCCCAGGCAATCCACCCCCTACATATTTCTGCTCAGGCCACAGTGCCCACATGCCAAGGTACAACAGGTTAAGGAAGCAAGAGATCTTGCTGGACTCGAGACAGACGGGCACCTTTCCCTGGCCTTGCTGAGTTCGAATAGTTTGATACAAGCCCTGCCCGTGGCAGGAGAACAGTGAGGGCAGAGTAGCCTCCCCAGAGGTATGTCTTTCCCAGTAGGGCTGCATGGAGCTACCTCAGTCAACAGTGGGTTTGAAGGTCCCAGGAGAAGCTATGGCCTCACCCATAGCAGCACGACAGCTTTCCAGGAGGTGAATAGGCCTGGAACCATTTGCCCTGAAGCTCCAGGGGCACAGCACCCACAGTGGGGGCCTTTGGCTGAGAGCCTAGGCGTGAGGAGGGGGTTACCTAGGCCTACCCTGGAAGACTGCTCTGTCGCTCTGTCCCCTGAGGCCAGAGCTGCAGCAGCAGCAGCAGCAGCAGCAGTAGCCCAGAAGGAAGGGAGCAAGGTGAGCCCACACGGAACAGGCCTGATGCATTTATTGGAGGAGTTGTGCTCCCGAGTTTACACAGTTGCTGGGTGGTTTGTTTAGAACAAGCCAGATGCACAGTGGGGTGGGGGACAGGGACAAACATCCTAGCAGTTGTGGGTGTGTCACAGGCATTCTGGGGTACTAGCACGAAGCAGGTGGCAAAAAACACCACACACACCACAGGGCCAGACACCAGGTAGAGCAGTGGGAAAGGGCTCAGAATCTTTAATGTTGTGTAAGTTTTGGTTCTAAAAAGTTAAATAGCTCTCTTTGTATATATCTTAAAATGTGGAAACTGCCCACTAGGACAGGTGGACAGTGCTGTTCCTTGCTTTCCAGGATCAGAGACAAGAGGACAGCTAAGGTTGAGGGGGAGGCTACTGGGTGCTCCACAGACAGTGAGTGGGGCACAACAGCTTTGGGGACCCAGTGGCTTCATTTCCTGAGCAAAGGGTGGATTGAGGCCAGCCTCCCCTGCAGGCAGTCACAGGGAAGGTTTTGAGTTTGAGTCAGGCAGGGTCAGAGACTGAGCACAGCCGGCCATCAGCAGCACCACACACCTGCTCAGGAGCTCCTTTGGTGGGCATTGGCACATCCACACAGCCCTCATGACCTACAGAGCAGGCACCCTCAGGAGTGCCCCGCTCCTCCTCTGGGGGACCTCGTGAGTCCAGGCCTCTTAGACGCTGCTGGCGCTCCTGAGCTTGGCGGGCCCTGCTGGCAATAGCACGCACGCGACTCTGGCTGCGAGAGGAGGATCTCCTTAGGAAGCTGGCGCCCCCTACAGGCCCTTCCCCAACTGGGCCCAGGCTGGTGGGTGATGTGATGTCCCCAGCTTGCTGGAAGCCAGTGAGCCACCGCAGCTGCTCTGTAAGAGCATCTCGCCGCAAGCCTGGCTCCAGCGCCTGCTGCCCCACACCCCGGCTGCAGTTCAGGCTGCTGGCACTGCCCTGAAAGCTAGGGGCAAAGTCATCAGCTGTCAGGTCTCCCAGACTCTTGGACTTGGCAGACACTGGGCAGTCCTGCAGGCCTACCAAGGGGAGGTGATGCCAGGGTGGCCGTGGGTGGAGGCTGGTCAGCCGTGGGGCAAGAGGCCGGGGCTGCAGCTCATCAGGTGCAGGAGTCAGCCCACCAGCAAACCGCAGGTTGGGGTTTGATTTGCTCTTGGTCACGGGAGGCAGGTCAGGATGGGCAGCTGAGGCCAAGCTGGGCCGTGGGGTCAGATGTCCAAGAGAGACCCCCGGAATGCTCTCTCGGCTGCGGCAGAGGCCCAGGCTGGGCAATGAGAGGTCTATGACAGTGTCACTGGATGACATGCTGGAGGACGAAGACACACTGTCCCGGTGACTGCCAGGCTCCAGCCGCTGCCATAACCTGTCAGTTCCTGTAGCATCTGAGTACACTGCAGGCATGGGAGAGGGCTCCAAGGGCACCTGGCCCTCACTCTTGGCCCTTCTAACCACTGGCAGGGGGCCTAGGGCCCAGGAGCGGCTCTTGCTGTCTGTCTGTCTGCCAGAGGTCCCCTCACGTGGCCCACTGGGGATCCCACCATTGTGTGGTTTTAAGGGTGGCTCTTCATTGTCCCTACTGCCCCCGGTCCTGAGCCGGAGGGTTCCAAAAGCTCCCAGAGATGTCCGCTGGGGGCTGGTCACTTTGGCTCCTGGTTCTACAGGGCACTGGGGCCCTTCCTGAGAAGGACCTGTGGGGACAGCTGCCTGTAGTGGGGGGCCAGGGCCCAGGGCTGGTTCCTCTGCAATGGGTTCCAGACTGCACAGGGGGGAGGTGGGCCGCTGCAAGGGGAAGAGGCGAGTATCTGTGGGGAAAGAGGGATGGGAGACAAGAGGCAGAGGGATATACAAAGAGGGACAAAACAGAAATTAAAGACACAAGTGAAACAGAGAGGGGATGGAGAGAGAGAGAGAGAGAGAGAGAGAGAGAGAGAGAGAGAGAGAGAGAGAGAGAGAGAATGAATGAGAATATATGAATCTCATCAATGAGTGCTTTCTGATTCCTGACCCCTGAGCCAAGGCTAGGGGCCAGCCCATCCCAGGATATCCCAGCAGCTAGGTGTCTCCATTTATACAATGCAGTGTGGCACTCAGAGTACCCCCACCCTGCTAAAGTTGGAGGAGTGGTGCCTGGGCCTCATACAGGGTCCATAGGGCAATAGGCAGGCCAGGCCTGATTCTCCTTGGACTGGGGTAGCATGGGGACACACAGGGCTTGGGCCTGTTACCTGGCACTCGCAGGTGTCAATCCCTAACTATGGAAGCAGCATGGGAGCAGGGACAGAAAGGAGAACACAGTCAGTGTGGGGTGGGCTGGCAGAGAGACAGATGGACAGTGAGGCTGGGCAGGAGCAGGAGTAGTGCGATGGAAGCAGGCAGACTCCCTCCCACCCAGGCGAGGGCTCAGGTGACCAGCTCAGTCCAGTTCCCTCATACTCCTGCTGACAAGGTGTAGGCCAGGAACTGTCAGCCAAGATGGTGGGTGGTCACACAGAGGCTAAGTGCCATCCGGGCGATGCAGGTCCCTGGGAGCTTCTCTCAGCACTGTGTGCTTTGAGGCCCTGACCTCCCAGTTCTGAGCACCTTCTACCCTGGTCTCTGAGGAGACTCCAAGGGATACCCTTTGGTACCACCACCAACTGACAGCAGACTTTCCTGAAGGGACTGCAAGGCCGAGGAATGCTGGAATCTGGCCCTGGAGGGAGGTAGGGCTAAGAGCTGGAACCTTTTCAGACCTCGGAAGGTCATCAGGGCAGCCAGCAAGGCACCAGGGAAGCCCTCACTGAGGGCTGACTGGACATCCTTGGGTTCCTCAGCAAGCAGCCCTCAGAAATGCCATGGTGACTCAAACTCTCCTCTTCCCCATCCCTCCAAAGTGCGGGGCTGTTTGGGCAGAGGGGAGGAGTCTGAGGCGGACAGGCCACAGGTCAAGCTGATGGAGCAAATGAAGCGCAGCCACAAGAGCACAGCAGGCACGGACTGCCTAGGCATGCCAGGTGCGTAGAACATGGGATGCGGAGGAACGGCAGGCCTTACCCGTGGAGAACATGGGGGAATGACTCCTGATCTCCTCCAGCTTTTGAACGAACAAGGCGTTCATCTCTCCCTGCAGTGCCCCCTGCTGCCTGTGAGCACCCTCCGGCTGGCAGGGGGCCACCTTGGGGCTGCTTGGGCTGCCTGGGCTGCTGGAGTCCGAGGACACAGAGCCGCTGCCTGGACCCTGCCGCCGAGCCCTAGGACCCTTGGGGGCCTCTCTGCTTCTCCCTGGGGTGGCTCGAGGGCTCAGGCTGCAGCGAGGGCCCCCCAGTGAATCTACCCGGGCCCGGGGCTGCTGGCTGATGGCCATGTGGCTGCCCGCAGTCCCCGGGCTGGGTGGCTGCTCCCTTCGCAGGCCCTCAGCGTCCATACCGGTGCAGGAGCCCACCACACACTTCATGCATGTGGCGGCCATCCCTGCAGGTCCAGGGCCTTCAGGGACATGTGGGGACCACACCTGTGCCGGGGTTCTCTCTTCGGTTTCTTCTCCCGCCAGTGCCTTACCTCGGGGACTGCTGCTGCCTGACTTCTCTTGGGTAGGGGCCTCCAGAGCTGGGTTGGGGCTAGGGGGTGCCACGTCATCAGCTGCCCCCTCGGAGCCCCCGTCCTGTGTGCCCTGGGCCAGCTCTGGGAAGCCCTTGCGACTTGGCTTCTGGCTCTTGGTTGGGGCACTGGCTGTGCGCCGCAGGAGCCTCTGGCTAACGGAGGGCCGGGGCAGGGGCTGCCCAGCAGCATGACTGTCCAGTGAGCCTGGCTTTGGGCCGCGGAGGAACAGACCTTTTAGACCCAGAGTCTGCTTGACCTGCAAGAAAAGGAGCCCACATAGCCGGTGCCTGGCCCCCTGGCCCAGGTATGGCTGCTGTGGAGAACTGGCTCTCCAGAGACTCTGCCAGAATAGCAAGTTGGAATGCCACATACAGGGAACAGGGTTTCCTGGCAACTCTAACAGGATGTCACCTTTCAAACTACAAATGTGTCCCTTCCCAAACTTGAGAGGGAGGCTAGAGAACTGTTCCCATGTTACCTCAAGGGCAGACCTCAATCCCTACACCCTGGCCACCCACTTGTTCCAGCCTTGAGAAATGGAGGACTGCGGCCCCAGCTTTGTGGAGAAAGAAAAACTGGGGTCTGTTGTCACTGTGGGTCACACTCACCCTGACCTGGTGGCAGCAGCCTGGAAGGCCTGCTCTCCCTTGGGCTCTGCCTCCCTTCTGCCTCTCTACTTCCCAGGTACTCCAGCCTCCTAGAGGGCCGCCTTTCTAGGAAGCCTTCTTGAACTCCCCCAGGAAGACTCCTCCAGGCTGGCTTGCACTCTGGCCCCATGAGTTCCTGAGGCCCTCAGCTGGCTCAGCATTTGACCAGTGCCCAGCCATAGCCAACTTCTGCCCAGTCCCATCCTGCATTCCCCTCTGCATAGGTAACTGCTGGAGAGGATATGCAGCTACCTCTAAAGAGGGCAGAGGCCATAGGGGTCCTCACATGCCATACACATCCCACCACCAACACCCACCATTCCCCCAAGATGGGCCGTGCTCGTGCGTTGGAGCAGCCCAGGGCCTGGCGCCCAGGGGCCTTTCTGCAGAGGCAATAAAATGGTCAACACTTGAATCAGCTTCCTGATTCAAGATCCCAAATCCAGTGCAATTTGGTCAACATGGTTGGAAAGCCATTTAGAAGGAGATCCAGGATTCGAGCTGGTATGCCTGCTGCGTAAACCCCCACCCCAACTAGAACCCTGGCATAGACTGAGGAGAAAGCTGGACAGGCTGAGAACTGACAGTATAGGCAGACAGAGAAGGGAGGATAGGAAAGGAGCTGCAAGGCTGTGCAGAGAGAGCTGCCGTTGGGGGATGGGAGGGGAGAGGAAGGGCAGAGGGTGGGTAGGATGAGGACAGGATATTAGGGCAGGCCCTTGACCTTGGCTGAATCCTGGATCTGCCTCGTAAATGCCACTCTCTGGCTGAGGATGGCCCCGGGAACCCCAGAACTGTGTCATGATCCATGTCACATGAGCTGACAAGTCTCCAAAATGCTACCAAGAATCACGGATGCTAATGGGCGCGGCCTGGCATGCAGGTGGGGCGGCGGGCTACACCGTCCCGCAGCGCCTGGTACCTTTGAGACTCCTAACAAGGCTGAGCTTCTAAAAGTAGACTTGGGACATAGAGAAGCCCACTGCAAGACCAAAGAGACAGAGTGAAGGCAGGTGAGGTGGCCATAGTGGCCAGAGCAGGGCCTACCCAGCCCTTGGCCCTCAAAGACGGGCAGACACAGGACAGATGGGTGGTATGCTAGAACAGGACACCTGCAGTGCCTCTAGGCCCATGGTGCTATCAGAGAGTCAGTGCTGGACCCAGCAGGACCCACTCACTGCGTGGCTACAGGCCCTAGAGGGTTGGTTGCACCAAATTGTACCCTAAGGGTGCATCAGACCCCACTTAGAACCCAGACAGCTGGACTTCCTGTTCTGGCCTGGGGCAGGGCACATGGGGTGGGGGGGCCCAGGGACCAGGTAGCGGGCAAATGCAAGTAGATCCCTTTCAGGAAATAGGAAGCAGAGGGATGGGAATCTCAGGACAAGGAAAGCCTCGGGAGAGGTCACTGTGCTCTGTCCCTGCTGAGAAGCCAAGCAATCAGTGCTCCCAGATGTACAGGGCATAGGAGGCCACGGAGGAAAACTGAGACTGGCACTGACAACAGATGGAGGGCAGGGAGGTGGGCACCAGGGAATTCCATCCCAGGACACAGACATTTGGCACACTTGGAGGCCCAAAACCCCCTTGGGATATGGAGGCAGCACTGGTAGGCTCCAGGGTCAGCATCTCCCAATAGCCCACATCAAAGACTGAGGAAGAGGCCCAGAGAAGTGAGTGCCAGGCCCTCGCCCCAGAAGGGGACTGGGCAGGAGCAAGGGGCTGGTGCTATCTTTCCTGTGGCGACAGGAGGCCTGGGAGGCAATACTCACCTTACCACTAATGTCACTGACAGCCACATGCACAAAGATAGAGGCTTCTTCCATCCCTTCTAGGTACACATGACGATAGCCTGGAGCAATAGGGTCACCAGTCATCAAAGTTCCCACCTCTTCTTACCCTGTCAACTCATACTTTCCTCAAAGGTCTTTAGGAAGGCCTTGGGTAGGACTAGAGAGCCTCCGACTCATAAGAGTGGGAGGCCGAGTGCCGATTCTGTGCTCTCAGCTAGTTAGGAGCTCCTTGGGAACACCATGGGGAATGCTGGCAAGTGCTGAACCACCCCCAGCCTGGGCCTCTTCCCTACCTGGCATCATGCTGCTGAAGGCCAGCGTCCTCTGGCCAATGAAGTCACGTCCAATGGGGTCATGGTCCCAGACAAGGAAGCGCACAAGTGCAATCTCAGGCATGTGCACAGTGAACACCAGAGTCTCCCCCCACATGGGGTTGAATCCTAGAGACAGTGGGGACGGAATCAGCAGGCCAGAAACTGGAACCAACGACTGGCACCTAAGGGGCTCCAGAGTGGACAGGACACTGAGCACCCAGCAGGTGGCCCTGGCCACTTCCTCTGGGGTCTACAGCAGCCTTGGGCACACACTGGCATCTGATGCCCTCACCCACTTTGACCGGGGCCCTCACCATTGTCGTCCACCACTCGCGTCTGCTCCTTGCTACAGTCCACAGGGAGCCCGATGACCTCCACCTCCACGAAGGGGTCGATGATCTGGGGACAGTGTGAGGTGTGGCACCAGGGCCCTGGGCCCTCCCACAACCCACCTTGCCCACATGGACTTGCCCCTACCTCCCCACGGTCACCCAGCACTGAGTCCCGTGGCTTGGGCAGCTGCTGGCCACTGATGATCCTCAGGGCCAGCTGCTTCTTGAGCTGCCCGGGCAGGGGGTCCTCAGAGTTGGGGTTGAAGACACCTGAGAGGACACAGGTGTGAGCCAAATGCACAGCTTACAGCACATCCCTACCTATTGATCTGTGGGGCTCTGGTAGAAAACAGCCCCATGGAACAGTCAGAAAGCTTTGGTCTGGAATGGGATTGCTGCATCATAGTGAGGGCAGGTCACAGGGTAGGTGGGGTCTTGCTCAGGCTGCTAATGTCAGGGGTGCACCATGCAGTGAAACACAGCTCAGTGCAACCAAGAGAGGCATAATGAGAAGACAGTATGCATACGAAGACTCTGCAGCACACTGGGAGAGTACTATGGATGGCTCCTGGACATGCCCATCAGGGACTGAGGTCCAGCACCTGAGCCTACATCTCCTAGAGTACGCCAGGGTCCCAGACAAGTCCTACCCCCGAATCTCATGCAGCCTAGAGCTCAGGGCCCAGCAGAGGGGTTCCCTAAATCCCCACCCTCAGGCCCCTGGTGTAGTTAGTGGTCATTGCACCCCCTGAAGGTAGTTCTCCCATTCTGACCTCCCAGTGTCCTGGTAGTTCAGTCTCAGCCTGACCCCCCCGCTGCTGTGTGTACCCACCACCCCAGTATTCAGGGTAGTCTCACAGGAGCCCACCCCAGCCTGAGCCCCTCACCCTGGCACATGCACTGGGGTTTGAGCACGTAGCCACAGCCACCGTTGGCACTGAACTTGGCCCTGTTCAGCTGCAGCATCCGCCCCTCTGACTGGTAGTTCAGGGCAACTGGAGGGAAGACAGACACCCATGCAGGTCAGTAATGTTCGCACACTCTCCTGCACGAGTTCTGGGGCTGGAAGCCCAGCATACGTGCTAGCAGTGCAGGGACAGACGGTGTTTCTCATGCACCCTAGGGTCTGAAAGGCCCCACCCTGGTTGCCAAACACCTTCAGAGATGGCCCTCCTCACCATCCCACCCTGTACCACATGCCTGCACGCACCCATCTGGCAGCCAGCATTCCAGAAGGGCTGCGGATTGTAATTGCTGGAGTCAACACGGTAGGAGGAGGGGTATATGCGTGAGAGCTGGTGCTGGTTGAAGCGCAGGTACTGGGCAGGCTTCTGCTGCAGGATCTGGTGGGCCTTGGTCTCACTGAAGGACGACACCTGCCAGCTAGATGCCACTGGGGCACAGACCAGTCAGCCATGAGCACACAGAGCCTGTACCCCACAGCTGACCTGCCTGGCCCCACCCTCCACGTGGCCCTCACCCTCCATTTCCACGTCATGGGTGCCCACAGACTTGGTATATTTCACTAGGTCCGAGAGGGCTCGTGACAGCTTCATGGTCTTCTTTTGCCGGGCAGTCCTGCGAGGGTGTGGCAGGGCTACTCAGGACCCCGTGGCTACGTCCCTCCCATCCAGTCCCAGCCAGCCTTTCTGTTCTTCGATTCAGGCTCCAGGGCCTGTACAGGTCCATCTGCTCCCCAAATCACATGTCCCAGGCAACCTGGGACTTGTAAACAATAGTTAAGGTTCATTGCACCTCAGCAGGCAAGTACCCCACTCTAACCTTCCAGTGTCCTGGTAGCTCAGTCTTCTCTGTTCTATGTACCTACCACCCTAGTATTCAAGGTAGTCTCACAGTAGGTGGGGACAGGAGTCACCCCTGTCAATCATGAGGCTATGGAAACATGTCTGTTGGATATGGGCGGCTATAAAGCCTTCAGGGGATCTTGACCCTTGACAAAGACCCTGAGTGCCCCTGAGCATATACAAGATCAGGGCTGGGGATGCCTGCCCAGCCAAGGGGTGTTCTGAGGAATATGAGCTTCTGAAGCATTCTGGGCAGGAGGGAATTAGTCATGGAGAAGAGATAGTCCAGTGACTTAGCAGTGTGCCGTGGCAGAGCTGGGAGTTCAGACACAGAACGTTGGGGAGAGGCTGGTTGTGACACAGAAAGAGGAGATAGACTTGAACAAGGCCTGGGAAGGAGAAGGAGAGGGGCTGGACAGGAGGGGATGAGCTCCAAGCTAGACTAGTGGGTATGAGACCCCAGTGAACTCTCTAAGGTGCTGTGGAAAGCAAGTGGACAGAAGCAGACTGGCACTCTTGTGGGGTATAGGAGGCACGGAGATAGACAGGCATTGCCCCTGGAGGGAATATACAGTTGGGGGCCTTGGAAAGAGGAGGTAGAAACTGAGGTCTCGTGGGTCAGGCAGTGTCTATGCCCAGGAGACTCTGAGGGAACCTTAGGACCCCCCCCCCCCCCCCAGCACCTGAGCGCTGCTAGGCTGACTCTGTGCTGTACGTCCCTTTCTGCAGCTGCATGGACAACAGCTTCACTTTCTCTTAAGTGTTCAGAATGACAGTGGAGCATGGAATCCCATACCAGCCCCCCATTTCTGCCCAGCACTCAGGGATAGCTCCCTGGAACTGGGCAAGAACACACACACACACACACACACACACACACACACACACACACACACACACACACACACACACACGCACACACACATACACACACTGGGGCAGGGCACTGACCCTCGGCTCTGGCTTCCTGGGGAGTCCAGGTTCTCATTCCCCTCTTCCACACTGGCCACCTTCTTTATCTTGCTGCCTTTTTTCTGTGCAGGGAGGTAGATTTGTGACTTGAGAAGCCATGGGTCAAGCCAGGACATGAAAAAGGATAGGACGTGCAAGGCAGAGGCTCTCTGCCCAGGTTCCTGAGTTCCTACCCAGCTGGGCCCACAGAGGTATCTGCAGGCTCCTGGCCCTGGGGGACTCTCAGACAGCCATGGGATATCTGAATCTCAGACGCTGGCCAGCGTGGGTCAGGGGAGCAGCAGCCAGAGCTCCTGACCCTGAACCCAATCACAGCTAGCAAATGGTACAGGGATAGAAGTAGCACCAGATGGGACCTCCTAGCCCAGGACCTCTGTTCACCTTGCGCTTGGAGAAGCTGCTTACGAGGAGACGGCTGTTCCGCCTGCTTGCCCCGGTGTCCTCCCCGGACTCCACATCCTCCTCCACCTTGCTCTGACCCTGAGAGGCAGACAGAAGTTGAACTCAATTTCTGACCAGCCAAGGAGGGCAGGACGGCTTCCTGGGTGACTCCAGAAGGCCTCTCTGGAAGAAGTTGAATTGAGCAGGTCTGGGAGCAAGGCACTGATTTGGGGGAGCCAAGCACAGCTACCAGGAAGATGCCTGAAGATGTGTGGTTTTAAACTCAAGTACCAGTTCCAATTTTTTTTTTATCATGGATGAAGACTGCATAATAAGTGCAGCTTGCATCTGGAATATTCTTTAGCTGAGTGCTTACATAATCCTTTTTTGAAAATCCCTGAAGCCCTGACGCCCCAGCCTATTTCTGCACAAATTAGGTGAATAATCCCAGATCCAGCTAAGTGAGGCTGGAAGTACCCACTGGGCACAGGGTAGGACCCCGTGGTCCTCCACGGTGCGGGGCCCAGGACCCCATCCTGGAAGCTTGTTCACATCACAACCATTGAGCAACTTGCACACTTGCTTCTCCAAGGCCACCATGGCTGTCAAAACTCACTCCCCACAACCCTTGCATGGGCACCTGGAAACTCAGAAGAGTTCTAGTCGGGGTGCCCCATCTGATTCTGTGCCCTGGCCTAGGTGGAGAATGGTCTCTGTCAGACTCTCTAGAGCCATGTACCTGCAGCTGGGAATCCCTGCTAGAGAAGGGTGTCAGGAAGAGAGACATGCAGCATGTACCACAGTGTGGAGAACTGTCCACGCACCATGCTGTGTATCCCATACATCCACAGGTCATATCTGCACATAGCGTGGATGTTACTGTACACACCATGGACAGCCCTGTACACTAGCTCAAGGACACTCCTATACATGCACATGGACACTTCTTCATATACAATAGACACCTCCACACACCATGGACACCTGAACACAGCATGGGCCCCCCCTGCACATACCTTGGTGCCCTGCACACACTGTAGACTCCTGCACATATTGTGGACTCCTGTATATATCACACCCATATGTACACACCCCTGCATATACCATGGACACTTATTCACACTGTAAAGAGCCTACTTTGGTCCCTGGCCACAGAGAACTCTTAGTTCTCGGCCACTGTCTCAGAGAGCAGCTGGTGTTTTCCCATGACCTCTTCTGCCTAAGCTACCCTGCCTTGACATCATCAAGCATCCCCTGTTGCTGATCTTATTGATGTGATGATAGTCTGAAGCTCCTGCCAACTGCCTCTACATTGAATCCCTACTCTACCCTCTTGGAGTGTCAGGACCAGATGTGGCTGCCCTTCCTGATGCCCAGAGTGGCCCTGTGGCCATGTTGGCCAGGCCCTTCCAGTCTACAGACTTCCAAGGTCCAGAGCCAGAGGCAGATTCCCAGTATCTGACGTACCAGGTGTATCTGTGCCCTGCACATCCTTTCATTAGCCTATGAGGCCCCCAAAATGATAGTCCGTTTGGCTCTGAAATTGGGAACATGTGGTGGGAGAAGCCCTAGAAGCTGCACTCATGTGTTGAGAACCTCATGAGGCTGACATTTTTCTAAGTTCTTTAAGTAATATTCAAACTGTTGCCATCACCATGCCTTGAATGAATAAAATATGCACACAAATTAGGAGAAGCACACACTGACCATACAGGTGTGTGCTCACCAGCCACAGTTCACATGACAAGGTTAAAATCCATCATCAGCCCACAAGTACCATGCACACATAGCTTGACGCGGCCACCCTCAGGGGCTGTGAACAGCTGATAATGGGGTAAGTTTGGGGCAAAGTAGTATAGGCAGCACTGGGGGGTCCTCTCCACAAATAAGGCCAGCAGTTAAGCCTCCATCCTCAGCAGAAAAGATCCTTTTCTGGGGCCAACCTGTGGGACAGGGCCCCAGTGGCACTGTTCTGCAACCTCTGGAGCTATGTTTAACTGCTAGTAGGGGGTTTCTTCTGTCTCCCCTTGTATTCACAGGCTACTCCCAAATCCTCCTGCTGTCTCACAAGAGCCCCTGAGCTGGGCCTCATGTCCTCAAGGTTCATATGCAGAGAAATGACACCTAGCCTGAGGGGGCGGGGGGGAAGGCCAGAGTGACTCATGGTAGGAGCACAGATACTCATCCCTCATCTGGACTACACGCCAAGAAGCTCCCTGGCTGGTCAGTGCCCTTTGCTACAGTTCTTCAGCCCCTAGCTCTGCAAACTTCATGATGTGTACCCTTTCTGTTTGTCTCCTACACTGTGTCACAGACCGCCTGGTGATACTGTCAGGCTGGGGGGTCCAAGCTTCTCCTCCAACCTGGGTATCTCAATAAAGGAGATCCTCCCCCTGTTTCCCCCCCTCCTCCTCCTCTTCCTCCTCTTCCTCCTCTTCCTCTCTTCCTCCAAGAAGCTTTCTCTGAGCACAGTTATTCACACATGAGATAGCAGGGGCCAAGCTGTGCTACTGCCCCCAGGTGTCCTTTTGTCAGCCAAGAAAAGCAGAGATCCTGTTAACCCTCACCAGGATTGGACCAACTAGTTACAGGGCCACACCTCCACTCAGCCTCTGCTAACAGAGGCTGGGCAAAGCATCAGGTAGGCTACATTCTCTTGCCCAATTGTCTGAGAGCTAAAAATAAAAAGAAGGCTGTGTGCATAGGACCTGTGTGAGCCACCTGCACAGAGCTATCATATCAGCTATGCTGAGCCCTCCAGTGTTGTGGGTGGAAACAAACACACCTCTAAAAATACAGCAGGAGAGGACCCTGTTCAACTGGGAGAGGCCCTTCCAGCCCTCCCAAGAGCCCTGGAAACAGCAAAAAGTGAGCCAGTGCCACAGGAAGGGAAGGGCAGGGGAGGGAAGGCTCCCAGGCAACAGGAACTGCTCTAACCATCTCACCCTGCAGATGCCCTGCTCAGCTGTGAGACCAGCTGCCCAACCCGCCACAGCCACCACAGCCAGCTGCTGTATGGATCTTTCACTCAGGCCACTTACCTAGTGTACCTGTCCTTCAAGCCTGGCTTGCTGCTCCCCACCAGAGGCGCAGTCTGGTCCAGCCTGTCTGGCACCTGCCTCCACCCCATCACACCTGCCAGGACAGTCTCTGAGGGCCATTCTCTCTGTATTCCCCACATATCTGTGAGCTGCTTCAGGTAGTGGGAAGCTCCTAGGACTGGCTGGGCCCTGAGATCCTGATGTCCACCCTCCATCCCCCATGAAACCCTCACCAAGGTAGGCAATGCTCAAAGCCCCTCCAAGAGAAGCCATAGGTCCCCAAGGGACTATTTGCCCACATACAAATACTGTGCTAGTATACATGAGTGTGCACAGGAGTGTATGCAGGCATGTGAATATGTGTGAGTATTGTACAGACATGTGCAGACGAGTGTGTGTGTATAGATATGTGTGTACAGGTATGTGCACATGTATGAATATTGTATGGTATGAGCACACAAGCATGCATATGTACATGTATGCATGCAGGTATGTGGGCAGAGGTGTATGTGTATATGGGTATGCATGCAGGTATGTATGTGCATATGCAAGCATTGTGCATATGTGTGTTTAGATGCAGGTATATATATGTACTGGCATGAGCACAGGTACAAGTGTACTCACAGGTATATATATGGATAGCTTTATAGATATATCTCTACATACTAGTGCCTATATATGTATATATACATCTACTACCACATATTCTTGGGCCCTCACCCAGCCCACACACTAGCTATTGGAGAAGTATGTGTCAGCAACACAGATCTCACCTTCTTGGCCTCTGCTTTATGCCCAAGCTTTCCAGATGGGGACAGTGTGGAGACAGTGAAGTCATTGGGGTCTTCACAATCACGGATCTTTGACTCCTTGATAAGAGAATCCAGCTTCTTCTTAGCAATATTTTCCACACGCTTCCGATTGGTGGAGGCCTGCCACAGCCAGAAGTCAGCCCATTGGTATCTGTCCCCATCCCAGTGAGCAGCAGAGGGGGCCATCATAGTCCCTGTACATACCCTGTGATTCCCAGTGCAGAGGCAGCTATGGACAGCACTAAAGCCCAGACACATGATCCCTAGAGTAGCGTGGTTCTGCCAGGGGGGCCCCAGGGGAGGAAGATGGGACATTCTGAAGATAACATAGGATCTGAGACCCACACGCTGGCCACCATACATATCTACATGTGGAGCAGACAGCAGGGACAGGGCAGACTTTGGAGAAACCTCTAACCCTGGCTGGGTGCCCTCTCTGACAAGACAAGCCCAGTGAGACATGGATGTACTTGGAGTGCTCGAGGGAAGACTTCAATCTGGGACATCAGGACTCCCAGGGTGCTCAGGATGGGTGTATCACAGTCATAAGTTCTGTCACCATCCTGGGCCAACCAGAGACATGTGCAGGCACACCCAAAATAGGAAGAATCTGCTGTCTCAGGGCTTTCTAAAACAATTAGCCAGCTCTGGCCCAGAGGCCTCCTGCACAATTATTTTCCCATCTGATGACTCCTCAGGGGGAAATAAAGTCTTCACTGCTTCACAGCAACTGAGAGCAGTGGATGAGCAGTGCCCAGAAGAGAGATGTCAGTTACAGAGCCTGCCTCCACTCAGCTCCCCCAGCCCCCAACTCCACTAGCAGAGGCTCTTACAGACTGCTCAGGCTCCCTCCACAGCCCCCAGCCCTTGGCCAGACCAGCTACAGTAAAGATACAAGAGGCTCCGTGGAGATGACCACTAGAGGAACCTGCCAGACAGGAGAGCTCAGCACCAGAGCTGGTCTTGGAGTGGGGTGGTTAGGCGTGACTACCCCGGAGTCCAGTCAGCTTGGACTGGCCAGTCAGCTGAGGTGCTCTGAGTTAAGGCATATGGAATCCAAAGTGCACCCCTATCCCTGCTCAGTGCTGCCTCCACTCACTGGAAGGCCAAGAGGACTAGGTCAGCATCATAGACAAAATCCAAGAGTCAGTTCTAGCAATGGAAACCAAAATGAGACAACAGTAGACGTGTGGCTGGCCTGCTGGTTAGACATGAGGTTCATGCCTCTTATACAGAGGGCCAAGCAGACAGAACAGCATAGACCCCAGAACAGCCCAACCTCAGAAGCTAGACAGCTTTGCACACCACACCAGCATTTAACCTTATGTCCATCCCTCCCAGCTGTCACTCTTCCTAACTCATCCTGGCAACCAGGACAAGCGGCTACTCTTGGGGACCACAGGCTTCCCACCCTTAGGACCTCCATCAGAGCCTCTGGCTCCCACTTACATCCCCATTGAGGAGCTTGCAGTCATCATCAATCTCGTCGGCGCTGTCCTCATCAGATACCTCACCTTCTTCTGCATCCTCGCTGATATTGGCGGGAAGCTTCTTCCCCTGGGGGACAAGGTAGGTAATAGGAGAAGCTCTGAAGGGAGTACAGGAATCCAGCGGCTGGTACCCACTAGGAGCCCTGCAATAGGGAGGGGGCTTTTCCAAGCTCCTTCTTGGAATCTCAGGACAAAAAGTGGGTTGTAGTTGTGCAACCAGAGCAGTTGCTGTTGTAGCAGCAGCATACAAGGGAGGTGGCTCAAGACGGCATGGTCACCCCAAGGGTGAGTGCCCACCCCCCAAATCTGTCTATAGACACTGTAATTCTCCAGCTTGGCCCCAGGCCAGAGCCATCACAATGATGGTCCCAGAAAAGTCACCTTCACCAGGATCTTGCCCTTGAGCATCTGTGGAGAAGGAAGCATGGTGGCATCCTCGCTGCTCACTGAGGATAGGTCCAACTTGTCCCCAAGGATGTCAGTCAGATATTGGGCCATCTTCTTTTGCTGAACGACACTACAGTGGTTCTCAATGGACAGGATCACTGGGTACCTGTGGTACCAAGACAAGAGGGATGGGAAGAGACCAGAATCCTAGAGCATGACTAGGCCCCATATCTGTAGGTATACAGGCCACCTGTACCTTTGAATGATGACATAGGTAGTTAAGTAATTAGGTAAAAGGTCTGCCATCTGCTCTAAGAGGTGACCCACCAATAACTCTGAAAAGTAAATAAATGGGTAGGAAAGAAACTGAGAAATTTTAGGGACAAGTAAAGAAAGCATGAGAAAAAAAAAACAAAGGAAATCAAAAACTCCAGGAAAGTAAAAAGATGGTGTCTGAAAAAGCCGTAGTTTGAATATGGCATGTATGAGATAATATAGAATAATGAATAAACATAACCTCATTGAGCTGGACAGTGGAGGCCCTGGAGTCCTGACAGCGGCCTAAGCCTGGCATGTACCATCAAGCAGGATAGTAGCTACCTGCTCAGTGCAGAATGAAGAGTATGGGGTGGAGCTTTTCAAATGCTTCTGCTTTGTTTTTGTTTTTTTTTAACTACATGTATATACATCTGACTTCGATTTTTACCAAAAGGCAATCATGATCTGTTTAGAAAACGTAACTGTCCAGAACAAGAAATAGGCAGTCATGTGATATGAAAAGGGCAGAGAGCAGGGTGAAAGTATTTTTCTCCCCATTTCTCAGACAAGACAGGTCCTTGAGGGGAACACTGTACCTGGAAAGATGACGCTGGCTCACAGAAACAGCCCCTGAGCTGCAACACCTTCCTCAGCTGCAATCCCGAGAGCCTTACTGATACACTCACCCCCCCCACCCCATCCCACCCCACCCCCCCGCCCAACTGCTTCTGTTTCCGAAATCCACCTGGCTCCCTGTTTCACCAGCCCCTTCTCTGCTTCAGAGTCTTGTTTAGCCAAGGTAATGTCTTCTATTTCCAGAAACCAAATTGGATTTTTCTCAGCAGCATCTATGGCCACAGCTGAGTGACAGCAAATTGAGTCTGGACACAGAGTGGCTTCCTGGGGGTAATTAGTGCTCGGGCCGTCACTTCCATGGGTGGCTGAGACCAGAGATTGCCACTAAGTGTCTGTACATAGGCTACAGGCACGTGATCATCCTGCTGTCCATTCTTACACACACCGTAACCTTTCCTCCCTCCCCTACCATGGCTCGATTCTCTTCCCCCGCCACTCTCCTCAAAGAATGATCTCTAAACAAACCCTGCCAGTTGGATATTATAGTCATTGTCCACTGGGAAACACAAGGGAAGGAGAGAAACCCAAACCCTGGATGCCCTTCCCCTGCCTGCCACAGGAGCCAACCCCCAGGAGACCAGGCCACTCACTCATTCTTGATGAAGGCATATTTGTTGATGGTTTCGATGACATCTTTGAAAAGGATCTTGGAGGTCAGAGTGTAACCATGGTGCACAATAGGCTCCCCATCAGGCCCGTCCCAGCAGTCCACTGTGGGCAAGCAGACCCTGGTTAGCCCAAGAGGCTTAGCCGTGTAAGCCTAGGGAGGCTGAGTCCCTGGACTCCAACCACAGGGGGACTCTGCCAGAGGCCCCCATGGTTCCTCAAGCCCAGCCCATTTCCTGAAGGAGGTGCCATCTGCAGCCAAGACTGGTCCTCTGTGCTGGAGGGGCAGAGTCCAGGAGTGCTTACCCTCCACACAGCGGCAGCCGGCCTGCAGGACCCAGGCATACATATCTACCCGAGACTGGGACATGAGCTGGTCACCCACGAGGTAGGTGTTGTGGGATGAGGTGATAAAGTAGTGGCTCAATGGCCGTGTCATGTCTTGGTGCACTCCATGGTGCTCAGGGTTGAAGATGTCACCAGCGGGGCTCCTCGTGTAGTTGGTAAAGCCTGCAACATAGCATGAGACTGTGGCACAGAGCAGTTCAACACGGTAGAGTCCCTTCCTTGTCCAGGCATGCCGCTGTCCCATTAGTTTCCCACCATCCCCCAGAACAGCTGAACTGAGGAGAGGACCCACTCACCATCAATGCCCAGCACCCCCTTGCTCCTATTTTCCGGGCAAGGCTCAAATTGCTCGATGATATTCTGACAGCTCTCGAGTGTCACACCATTCATCTAGGCCAGAGCGGAGGCATGCGCCCGGGGTAGTTCATTCACAGTGTGGGCTACCTTCAGGCAGCCTCCCCCTCTACCTTCCCACCACCATCACCGTTCCCTGCCCTTGTCTCTGATCACCACACGGAGGCTGACCACAGCAAGGGTGGCTGGAGGGCTGGAGGCACTGACCACCTCTTGTGCCACATTGCCTGGAACTCAGCAGTCAGCCAACTATGAGTCACACGGATTGTGGGTTACTTTCTCTGATTGAGGGGAAAAATATGGCTGCCATAAGGAGGGATCCAGCCATGACATTAAGGCGGGGAAGCCTGAAGGCCGGGGCCACCCCAAGGGTAGTGTAGCATAATGGTGAATCTTAACTGTCAATTTCACAAAAGGTAGAGTCACCAGGAAAAGAAGTCTCCATGAGACTTCTTGTCTAGATCAGGTTGGCCTGTGGGCACAGCTGTGGGGGACTGTCTTGATTATGTTAATTGATATGGGCAGACCCATCTTAATTGTGGATGAGACCATTCCCTGGGAAAGGAATCCTGGACTGTGTAAGATGGAGGACACAAGCGCAATGCTAACACACATGCACTCATCTCTCTCTGCTCTTCACTGCGGATGCAGTGTGACCCCATTTGCTCAAGCTGCTGACTCTCTGACTTCCCTGCCACAGTGGACTACAACTTAGAATTGTGAGCCAAATAAACCCCCTCTCCCTAAGTTACTTTTGTCAGGGTATTTTACCACAGCTACAGAAAAGAAACCAAGCCGCTTAGGTGGGCAGCCTTGTGGAGGAAGCAGGCCTAGCAATAACCCCGCGTAGGCCATGGTGGTGGGGAAGGGGTAGTCCTGGGCAGAGCTAGGAACTGAACCTCAAATCCCAAGCCCACAGCTGCTATTCAGCTACCTAGTCCCCTCCCTGCTGTGGTGGTGCATGGCCAATCACTGTAAGGGGGACTCTGAGCATGCAACTGGGCAAAACTGAGGGCCTTGAGCAAGTCCCAGCCAGTAACTAGGCTCCCAAGGCATGACCTCCTCCTGGGAAAAGATCCAGGAAGACCCTGGCAGGTAGGTCCAAGAGGCTGTCCTCAAGTGCCCCCAGGGGGAGCCACATGCTATCCTACTTCCCATGGGAGTGCTCTCTCCACAGGGCTTGGCCCCCCATCTCCCTGCCATCAGAGTGGGCAGTACCTTACCCATGCCCAGACCTATTCTAAGGTGGGAGGGGGTGGGCTCTGAGACTGTAGTGGTGAATGGTCTAGGCAGCAGGGCAGAGCCTATTAATGGACTGACTTCCTGGGGTCAAGTGTTTGCTGAATGGACAGGTAATTGCAGGAGGCCACATCTGGAGTCAGGCAGGACGTGGGGCTAGACAAGCATGGAGAAGGGTGGTTCACAAAGGCCAGGCCATGGAATCCCAGCTCATGAAATGCTCAGTATGAAATTTTTGCCAAGGGCAGGTGTGACCCTCTGGAGGCTTTGGGTGGGGACCCAATGCCAGAATGGAGCTGACCAGAGCCCCCTCTATCTGTGAGGACACTGTAAGCTTCCTCACTTCACTTACCTGGCAGCATCAAGGTCCTACTCTGCTGTGAAGCTTTGAACACATACATAATAGCAAAAACTAAGGCTGAAGTTGAGGCCACACCCACCGGCCCTGCAGCTTCAGTGAGACCTCACCTTCTGCTCCACCTCCAGAAAGCGCTGCAGGTCGGAGGCATCCAAATGGTCCTTATGGTTGCTGTAGGTCAGCATGAGCAGATAGAGGTCTCGGCGAGTGGACATCATCTTGTAGAAGGCGCAGAATTCCTCAAAACCTAGTGTTCCCTGATGGTCATCTGTGTCTGCCTCCTGTAACGCCCAACCTCAGGTCACCACCCAAGCTGCACCTTTCCACTCCCGGTCTCAAGCCCAGCTTCCCTTCTTCTGCCACGCCCCACGGCACCCCTCCAATGGCTCCTTTTCTCTCCTCCCATCAGAAAAACACGGTGGCCCTTGAAAGCACAGATGGGAGCCTCCCCTCCCTTACGCCATGCCTTGCGAGGCCAACCTGTAACCAAACCCCATCATTACCCACGCCATAGACACCAACACCCTGCCTTGTGAGCTGAAGCCTTCCACTGGAGCTCTTTCCACCCTGGGCTCTGAGCCTACACCTGCAGCTACAGCTGGCCACCTGCCCTCTGACAAGAAACACTCAGAGCCCTGGAGGGCCCAGCAGTGTCCTGGCTCAGGTGTCAATAGTAGAGAGAAGTGTTCTTGGTCACTGTCTTCCTTTTGCAGAAAACAAAGGGTTCACAAGATACCCCAGGAACCATTCCACAGGGTGCCCAAGGAAGCATGAGCTCTTTCCAACCTTTACAGATACATCTACCATTCCCTAGGATGCTAAAGTTTGAGGCAGTGCATACCCCAGGCCCAGGCCACGGGAAGATTCAGAAACTAAGGACACCAGGGATTGGAGTGGGCTTAACAGTGGCCCCAAGGGTCTCAGAAGTGACCCAGGAAGAAGTTGCTTGAGTTCTAAAGACTTTAGAACTTTAGGGCTTTAGTTCTTCAAGGACCTGCTGGGTGGGGTGGGGGAGCCCACACTTTCTTGGAAGTGCCTGAATTGGCACTTACTGTAGAGAGTTTATCCCAAGGGACCACTGCTCACTGTTGAGTGGCAGTGCTCAGTACCTGGAAACAAGACTGGGGTGGTCCAAATGGCTCAGAACCACCATAGAGCTGCCAAGGACCCAGGCCACAGCTTACCCAAGGCTCAGTTCTCATCCTCCACTGACCATGGGCCTAAAGTTAGGTTTTATCCTATGTCTTGTTCTCCCAGACCTAGGCATGCAGATGCCAGTCAGCAGCTGTCCGCAGACATTGGCTGACTCCTCAGGCCTCTATAAAAGTTCTAGATATGTCCTCTGTGGCATGTCACCAAATCTGTCACACCAAATCTGTAGGGCCTCATGGAGGCTCTGTGCATTTGGGCACTCATATTAACCCACTGGCTTCTTTTCCCCTAGCCATCCATGGACTGAAGAGGGTCCCTAGGAAAGACAGGAGGAACCAGAATGGGTATCTGACTGTTTAACCCAAGTGGAGCCCTGGCAACCGGAAAAGAAGCTACCAAAAGCCTTTTGCCAAGCCCTCTGCTGAGCTGAGCCCTGGTTAGCCCAAAGGTAATCTTGGGCCGTTAAACCTTAGGACCAGTGTGCTGATCCACATTCCAATCTTATCTTAGATTTAATGATGTCAAAGCCACTGTATTCACTTCACAGGTCTCTGCTCCAATTAAACAGTTCCAGACCACCATAATACTGATTATCAGAGTGACCTGAGCATTGTAGAAGGCAGCATTTCCATCCTGGGGCTCAAAGTGCTTATGGAGACTACCATAATTGGCCTAATGGGACCCTGCGTGGGCAGGGAGATCAGGGTTCGGAATCTCTGACTACCACAAATAAAGACCATTGGGGTCTGAACTGTGTGAGCTAAAGTGCAAGGCCCATGTCTCCAGGACAACAACCCCACAACTTCCTTTCCAGACCTAGCCCTGGAACTCCATCCCACCTACACACCCCAGCTGTTAGCCTCTCAGCTCATGGTCTTTTGTCCAGAGCTTCCTATAGGCAATATGAAGGAGGTAGGCCTGAGATCACCCAGAGGGACCCCAGGAACTAATTAGTACCCAGAGGCCTGACCTCTCACAATGGTCTGGAAAGCACAAATTCCTGAGTTCTACCACACAGTGTAGCTCCAACCAAGGCCTGGAACTTAAAGCCTCCAATCACATACAACCTACCAAGGGTGTTTTCCCTCCTCTTTCCTCTCGGGCTGCTCTGAGCCCTGAGTCCTGTTCCACCTGCTGTCTGGTCCTTAGTGCATCCTCACCCTGAGAAAAGCATGCTGAGCCCAGAGCTATCCTGGAAGGGTTAAGGACAGCCCAGTGCAGGCAGTAGGGAATGGAAAGTGCTCACATCAGATGCAAGCCGTCTGTTAGGCCCCACTGCTCAGCTGACTGACCCCACAGGGGCCTTCAGGAGGGCAGGCAGTGAACACTCCCCTGGTCCTCAGTGGGCAGTCTGAGAGTGTCCTGCTCACTGCCTATCATTCAGACAGAGACCCAGCTAGTAGCTGTCATTGCTGCAGCTGAGCATGACTGCCTGTCTAGCATGAGTGCACACGCAGGAACCTTTGAGGGCCAGACATAGCAGATCTGTCAGGCCAAGAGCGTGTGTGCGTGTGTGTGTGCGGCGTGTGTGTGTGTGTGTGTGTGTGTGTGTGTGTGTGTGTGTGTGTGTGTGTGTGTGTGTGTTAGGGACAGGTCCAGCATCCATGCTCATAGAAACCCCTTTCTAGGCTGCAGCAAGGAAACAAGGCCAAAGATCTGGGTTTGCTGGCTCAGCCCATTCCTGCCCCAAACCAGGACCTGCTAACGTAAGAGTTTCTCTCCCATGGAGGTTCCCAAAAGACAGAACTAATTACAGACAATAAAGGCTGTGCTTGGCTGAAGGATGCATTTTCATAACTCCTAACACCAGGGTGGTTGGGGGTCAAGGCAGAGTGGGGTGGCTACTGAGAGCTGCTGCTTGCCAGTCCAGCTCTTTGCTGGACCTAAGGCTGGGGATCATAAGAGGCCGATAGACGGGGTGTGCCTGCACTTGAGTGGCTAATCTAAGTGCGCTACCTAGATATAGCCTGTGCCCCACAATCAGCAGAGCAGCACCAGGCACAGATGCCAGGAGATGACACCTGAAGTCCCTGACTACCTACCCTGTGAGGCATCCATTGCTCTGCAGGCACACAGCTCAGGCCTGGCTGGCCACTCCCAGCTTCCCATCTGCAGCCTGCAGTAGCCCCAGAAGGTGTTCCCCCAGTGGCCTCAAGCCGGTCACACTCAGTACTCACCCTGAACATCTGTTTCACCCTCTGCCGGGGCAGATTCACGTTGAGTTTATGTAGCAGCTGCAGAACCTCACCGATGCTCAGGCTGCCATCTCCATTCTTGTCAGCCTCATCAAATGTCTGCTTCAGCCACTTTGGGGCTGAGTTAGGGGCCAACACAGTCCATGGGCCTGGCCTCACTTGTTCTGCCCTCCAGCTTAGGTAGCAGGAGTCCCCAGCCCAAGCACCCCCCCTCATCTTCCCTTCCTTGGGAAACTCTACCCAGGTGGACAATGGAGTCTGCTCCTGGAATCTGTCCCCACCCCTGATGCCCAAGGATATTGGTCCCTGGTGCGCTGCCGACGGGCTAGGCTGTCTTCATCACTGATGCCAGCCATGAGGTAGCGAAGGCCGGTGACCCAGGTACGTGCCTCTTCACCACTAGGTGAGACCAAGTCCAGTGACTCACGGTGACTGCCATGGTAGATGCTGAAGCAGCAGTTGGGGTCGAAGCTGCTGTCAGGGTAGCGCTGGAAGATTTCAGACTGCCGTCCCTCACTCACCTCCTGGATGGAGTCAATGGAGACTGCAGGCAAGCGGGAGGACACAAGGTCACCAGTGACCCGAGTGCTCCCTACCCTTTAGGCTCAGAGCACCATGAGCTAAGCAGATTGCATCTTTGCTCTCAACAACTGACACCCTATTCAATACCTTCTCACTAAGCCCATCCTCAGAGAGGCCCCTCTGGTCCTCTGCCCTTCAAGAAGTAAAAGTACAATATGCTTGACTGACCTCTCCTCATCCTGTTCTGCTGACCATAATCCCCTCCTTTCCCCTTTAGTGAGAAGACACATACACACATGCACACACACGCATGCACGCACACACATATACACATACACACACACACACACACACACACGCACATACACACACACATGCACGCACGCATGCACCCACGCACCCACGCACGTGCACGCATGCATACTGGAGAAAATAAGAGAGGGGCTATTTGTCCTCACCTGGCAGTCCAGGCACCTGACTATTCTAGGACTGAGTGTTTTGGAGGTGCACAGTGGGACATCAGGAACAACTCACTCCACCCATCCAACTTTCGCTAGCTCATCTCTCCATTCTGAAAAGCGTTTGCACCAGGCATGTCCAGATCCTGCAGCTGCTTCAGTAACTAGCCCAGCATTGCAGGTGAGAAGCCAGATGTAGCAGCCAGCTGCAGCTCGCAGGTGTGCTAGGTTGCAGGTATATCAGCATGCCCCATTTAGATTTCACAAGGTCTCTTTTGGCTGGCCTCAGTATCCCAGCTCCATGGAACCTCTGCTTAGTTCAATCTCTGCGGTAGATGAGCTCAGGTGATGCTTTTATAATGTGTCCCTAGGACTTGGGTAGGACTCCCAGACAGATATGCAGCCCATGGGTGGCCAGTGTCCCCTTCTGGTCACCAGGTATCCCCTATTCTGCCTCTGTCCTTTCTCAAGTTCCCTGGCATGAGTGGCTCCAGCCTGGCCCAGGGACCGGCACAGCACCCTATTCCTCGCATTGCATCCCAAGAATCCACTGAACCTCCAGGAGTGGGGAAGATTGAAGGTCCCTGAACCAGTCTTGTTCCTCAATCTATTCTTCTAGTTACTTCCGGGGGTGTAGGGCTGGGGGACAGCTCCCTGGCCCATCAATGCTCAGCTACTAAGAAATGGACCTTTTGCTCCTTGTCAGGGTTTCCCTTGGATGATCAGATTCCAGGAAAACTTCTGGGCTTGGTGCTCCTAGCCAGGCACCAGGCTCCCTCTGCCTGTGCAGCCTTGAGGCAGCCCTCGGGCCCAGTGTAGGGCCAGTTGACACTGGCTTCTAGAGCCGGCAGAAGCCACCCAGTCCAGAATGACTTCACCTTGGAACTCTTTTTCACATGGGCCCTCTAGGGCCCTGGCAGAGTGACTATCTCCCGGGACTCCATGGTAGTATCCTTGGTAAACGCTGAGCTGAAGCCTTCCCTAGCATACCTGGGTGCTGCTGTTGGTAAAGCCAGAGGGATCTTAGAAATTCACTTCTCACAGCCTTGAGACTCTGGTATCTTTCCCTGATCGTAGGCCTCCCGACTCATCCGCTGTGTACTCCAATTCTGACTCCCCGCTCCATGAGAGCTGTGCAATTCAGGTGACCCCTGAAAACCACACCAAGTGCTCTGACCCATGCTGAGTTATCCTTGGGCTTCCAGCCTGCCCTTGGTGTGCCTGACTGTGTGGGCTTCTGTGGTTTCAGGACACTCTCGTCCCCTTGGCTGGTCTGATAGCCCTTTGCCCCACATTGACCTCAGCATTTGATGCAGGGCTATGCACTAAGTCATCCAGTCCCCATGGAGTCCCAGAGCCTTGCCAGGAGGCAGCTGGGCAAGGACCATCTGACCTATTCCTATTCCTTATTCCAGATCCCACTGCAGAAGCCCCAGACCACCTACGTCTAGAGATGACCAGCACACCATCTCAGTGGGGTCTTAGCTCATAACAGCATCTACTTGGGAGGCCTCCCTGTCCTGTGCTCCCCAGGCTCAGGCCTACCCATCCCCATCCCTGGGTTGTTGACTCACTCTTGGCCTTCTCATTCTTGCGTGAGGGCCGCCAGCGGAGGCAGGAGCGGTGCTCATCCAGGTAGTAGAAGCGGACCAGGCCCTTGGAGCTGCCACGGAGCTTCACCATCTGGGTCCCCTCCTGCATGGCACTCATGCATCGCTCCACTAGACACAGGTGGACACATGACAGAGACAGACAGAAGAAACTATGAGAGCTATGGTCATTTCACTTCTCTCCAAAGGGCCCTGTGTGCCTGTGTGGCCCTGCCCAAGCATGAGACAGAGTGGTTACCACTCCTTCTCCAATGGTCCTGGGCCACTTGAGGTGGGTTGAGGCACCAGGGAGGACATTCAGCAATAGCCTATTCCCCAACACATGGCCAGTCCCAGAAACTGCTGAGACCCTAAGTGGCCTTCGCTTAGACTGCCAAGCAGTCAGAGACCAGAGGCCAGACCAGTTCCCAAATCCACTGTGCATGGAGCTCCCATGCTGGGCACAAGGTGGGCCTAGGCACCATGCACCAAGCCTGACTCCTAGCCCCAGCCATGGGCCACTCCTGAGAGCCTACTGCCCCTTCTTGCACATCAGGAACAACATCTGTCTCATGGGCAGCAAGGTCAGAGAGAAGTCCTGTGGGAAGGCACAGAGCTGGGAGGCTGAGAGCTGGGTTTAAGTTCACAACCTCCTCTTTCCTTGTCAACTAGGCCTCCTGTCCCAGGGTAAGGTCCACAAGTTTCAAAGAGTCCAGGCCAGGGCCAAGCCTTCTTCCTCAGGCTGCATATCTATCTATATACAGGAAGTCCAGGAGCCAGAGGGCACTACATCTCACAATGAGGTATCCCCAGGTGAGCAGTGCAGAAAACCAGAGGGAGTGCCAGCCCAGGGGGGCTGTTTGGAGGAAGCTATTGTTGACCATACGCAGAAGGGCATTGCAGGCTTGGGGGTGGATACTCAAGGAAGATAGGACTCTCTAGGGGACAAAGCCAGTCTGGGGACACAGGTGTGGCTGCTGGGTGTATCTGAGGTAGATTTGGGGACAGAGACAAGCCCCGGATGCCCCTCATGCTGTTCTTGAAGAAAGAGACTGAATGTGCACCCTCTGCTCCTGAAGCAAGGAGCAGTGAAGCGAGGGTCTCCGTGGCTTCCTGAGATGCACTGGACCCTCCCACTGACCACCCAGCAGCCTTCTTTCTTCTGTTCATTGCCTCACCGTCCGGGGCTTCTGATACCATCTAGAGGCCATGGTGTCTATACCCGCATGCCTCAATAACTAGGCTGAAGGTACCACTGCCCCATAAAATTCCAAAGATCCCCCTCAGAAAGAGTTCTGAAGTCACCTGTGAGTTCCCAGCACATACAACCAGGGCCCTGGCTTCTGGGCCCGGAGATCTGAGTGGGAGATGCAAGGGAATGGGAGGTTGGTGTGGGGAAGGCGAGAACCCAGGCCTCTTGCAAACCCAGGGACAGTCCTAACTTCCCTAGGAAGCTATGCACCCTGTGGGCCCATAGGGCTTGGCCAGTCCCTTTCTTACCTAGAAGACTGAGCTGCCATTGTGGTGACACTACCACACTCCCTCCAACCCAGAGGAGCACCTCTGCTAGGCAGGCCACAGCTCCTGTGGTCCGGCTGGCAGCAGACGGCTGAAGATCAGGCATATCCAGATGACAGCTGGAGGCTTGCTCCCCAAAGCCAGAAAGGACCCTCAGCGATGGGCCAAGCAGAGGTGGTGGCTGGCACAGGGGCTCCTCGGGGCTCCCCTTCTCTCCTCTACCTCTTCCTCTTCCTCCTTGGAGCCCACCGAAGTCCCTCCAGGGCTGTTCCCAGATCCCACTGGCATTGACCCAACTGCTATCTGCAGCCCTGGATGGTCCCCGGGCCAGCCCACCCATCCTCTAGAATACACAGGTCTGTTTGAAGATGAATCCCAGGGGCGGGTGAGTGGCCAAGCCTCGCCCTGTCATCCTTGGCCAATCCCCACAGTAATCCTGCTGGATCCAGCCCAGCTGGCCAAAGGATTTAGGCCAGAGGCATGCCCAGCTGCCAGTTTAGAGCAGACTGCCCCATGTCTGAGCAACCAGACTCACATTTAAGGCAGAGGCAGGGTAACAGGTCAGAGAAGGGACAATCCCTCCAGGACACAAAACTATGGCTACAAGACCTGGGGTGATGCCCTCCGTGAGATTCCCCACTAGGAGGGTCTGTCTATCCATAGGTTTGCTCCTTCATGGGCTGTCTTCCTAAATCCTGCCCATACTGGGTATCCAGGGCTGGTATCTGTTTTTTTTTTTTTGTTTTGTTTTGTTTTTTTTTTTTTGTTTTTTTGTTTTTGTTGTTGTTTTCTTTTCTTTTTCAAGACAAGGTTTCACTGTGTAGCCCTGGCTGTCCTGGAACTCGCTCTGTAGACCAGGTTGGCCTCGAACTCACTGAGATTCGCCTGCCTCTAAGTGCTGGGATTAAAGGTGTGTAACACATGCCCGGCCAGGGCTGGTATCTGTGAGTCTCTGTTTCAAGCTATCACTTTCTCCTGCCTGAAATCCTTGTACATATAGGGACTTCCAAGTGGATCCCCACAGTGTGGCAGTGAGCCGGTCCACAGGTGGGACAAAGGCCGCAGTATGTTGTCTCAAAGCCCAGGGTCAAGAACCCAGCCACAGCCGGGCGGTGTTGGCGCACGCCTTTAATCCCAGCATTTGGGAGGCAGAGGCAGGTGGATCTCTGTGAGTTTGAGGCCAGCCTGGTCTCCAAAGCGAGATCCAGGAAAGGTGCAAAGCTACACAGAGAAACCCTGTCTCGAAAAACAAACAAAAGAACTCAGCCCCCTTTGGCTGGAGGCCAGAGCTAAGCCAGGGCCACTTGCCTAGAACCTTGTGACCCAGAGGAACTTGACCCAGGGCAGAGAGGACACCTTTCTACTTTGACCTCCAGCATGAGGAGAATATAGGTTCCCTGAGCTTTGTGCAACTCTCTGTGCAGACTCTGCTCCAAAGCCCAGTCCTCCCCTACCCCAAGCTGGCCTCTCCTGGTGCCCACCAGAACCAGAGTTATGGAGGCATCCCATTACCCAGGGTACATTATTGCTATATTCTGTATCCAAAGCTGGGCATATCTAGGCAGCCAGACCCTTCATGACAATTTCCTGACAGGGAAGGAGGCCCAGGACCCAGAAAGGACCTGCCCACCTACCAGGACACTGACCGTAAGGCTGAGTGGAAGTCACCACTCCACACCAGCCATAAGCAACCTTAAGAGGCAGCTGAGCACCTAAGAAACTCTCAGCATTGTATTCAATTCTGCATTCCATACTCCGGGCAACCGGAAGTGGGGAGATAGTAAGAATGGAAGGTAGAGTTTCATATTGGCTTCATTGCCTCATGGGCATCCCAGCTTCCTACCTGACCAGGCTCCTGCTTCTGGCAATGGACAACACATCCTGAGAGTCCCTGACAGGGTATTCCACATCCCCATAGCCATATCATCCCACTTCAAAAAGCACCCTCAGTGTTCTTGCCCAGCCCACCCTCTTGACCCTGGCCTGTCTGCTCATGTGTCCTGAGCAACGGGAAGCTCAGCCACAGGGAATCAGGACCCACTGGGCCAGATCCAATGTAATCAACTCACAAACAAACCCAGGACCCAATTAGGAGCCTTGGCCAGAGGCCTTGCCTCATTTGCTGGATGGAGGTTGACAGGCGGCCTGCCCTTTCTGCCACAAATTAGATTAGGGAACCATTTACTGCTAGGACAGGAAGGAGCACAGCCCTAGCAGCCCCCCTCCCCTCGGGAGACAGGCCACAGGAGACCCCGACAGCATGGTCACCTGTGTAGGCAAAGCCCAGAATCCCCAGTGAGTAGTAGGATGAAAACTAGGGGGAAAAAAAGATCCAAGTATCAGGGAAGCCACGGGGGTGCTAAGGCTGGGTAAGATGGGACACACGCCCTGAGTGCTCCAGGACCACATGATTCTCCACCCTGGATGGCATCTATGCCACCCTCCCTCTTGTCTGCTGCCACATTCCATCAGCCATCCCCATCTCTCCAATGGTAAGGCCACTACACTTCCCATTCAGTGCTCACAGCCCACTGTATGCCAGAATTTCTAGATTTCCTGTTCTCTTTAGGTACCCTGCCTCTGGACGCAGCTGCTCTTCCCTTGCCTGGGCCTAGCCCAGTCTAGGGCCATTCATGCTCCCCAAATCTCCCCAGAACTGGATACCTCTGCCCTCTTCCCTCTCTGCTTTTAGCCACTCTCTAGTCTCCCACCATCAGCCGGAAAAGGGAGTTAGGTGCCTAGGCAGGGGTTCTAGGAGAGACACAGATCCATCAGTACCAGCAGCCCCAGCAGAAGACCCAGATCACTGCACCCCAAACTCTCTGACCCTCTTAGTGACCCCAGGCCATAATCCCCCACTGACTAGGCAGGCAGAGGCCCAGCTAATCCTCCCTCACACAGGGTTCTGCTAGTAAGGCCTCTTCCACTGTCCTGGGGACCAAGGTGACCCTACCCACTGCTGCTACTGCAAAAGACAGGTGGACGTGGCTACTGAGCAAACCAGTGCCCTCGTTGAGGAAGACGGTAGAGGATAACTACCAGGAGCAGCTTGTCCATAGTGTACCGGACCAGGGTCAGACAGCAAGAGGCAGACAGGTTACCGGCCACACAAGGTTCAAGCCCACCGACGACGGCTGTCCTGAACATGACCATCTGGCCACCCGAGCCAGATGGGAAGCTCAGACATACCCCCCCCCCCCCCCGCCCCTGGCACAGAAAAAAGGGCAGCCATTCCCAGAAGAGCTAAATGCAATGGTGTAGGAGAAGTACCCTGCCCCTTCCAATGCCACCAGGACCTCACATCTACCCAGAGCTACCCAACAGGCCATAAGCATGCTTAGGACCCAGGTCCAGAGATGGGTAAAACTCCTGCCTGCTGCCTGGGGGATGACTCAGACCACCTTTGGAGGCCAGAGGTAGTAAGCTCTCCATATTGCGGTCACAGAGGGACTCTGAAACCCCAGCGTGTCTTTCACAGTTGAGCTGTGTTGTCACTGTGCTTTCCTTCACAGTCAGGCCCTAGGGCTCCCCCTGCTCCCCAAGAAGTTCTAGGGACCCTCAGGAGCCAAAGATTTGCAGTTTCCAGAAGTTTAAGGTATCCACCATGGTCCTCA